ATAATTGATTCTTGTTTTTTTAAATTTGAGAGAAGGATGAGGCACAATACAAAAATTTAAAACTACAAGTTTTTTCTTCATGTATTTATAGAAAATTTCTTCTATATTTAAAAAAAAGAGCTGTTGGCCAACAACTATCATTGTGGCTATTTCTACAATTAAATGTAGAAATGGCTGTTAAGGAAACAAATATCCATTTTAGCTATTTGTTTAGCTCCTCCGTTGGAATGCAAATAGTGAAAAAATAAAAGGTAAAGGACGTTTGGCTTCTCATTTAGCTGCTCGGTTGGGATTGCTCTAATAACTCTTCTTTAAAAGGAAAAAAAAAACAATATAGGATTTTTTGGTTTCTTTTGACATAAAAAATCAAATCAAAACTAGTTAGTTGAAATTAATTTTAATTATTTTTTAAAATTTTAATTTTAATTATTTTTATTTGTAAAAATTAAATCAAACAAAAAATAATTACCCTTACAAACTCCTTCTCCAGGTTCAAGCACCTCCTTGCATTTTTTTTTTAATTTAGAATGAAATTCTAAATAATAGTTATGTAGTAATTTTCAAATAAAAATGTAGTTTTTTATGATAATATTAATAATTATTTTAAAATCAATCGTGTAAAGATAATATGCAAAATTTCTTTAGAAAAGTTCCTGTGAATATTCCATGATAATAAATCTTTATTTTAAAAAACTTTATTGTAAATTTTTGCATAATTTCTTAAGATTAACTATTCTTTTATTTTTTTTCATACAGTAGAGTAAAAATTATAGATTTGTTTTTATTGAAACTTGAATTTCAAATCATAATAAGTCTATATTTAAAAAATGATGTTTGTGATAAAAAATACATATTTTTTCAAAATAAAAAAACATGAATAAAAAAATAGAGTTTCCATCAAAGAAATACATATTTTCATTTTATTTTTTTATGGATAATTATTTTAATTTCTGGTATTTTTTTAAGAAAACAAAGTACTAATAAAAAAACATATTTTTTTGTTAAAAAAATCATGAGTATAATTTTTTTTTCCCCAATGTATATATTATATTTTATTAAAAAATCTAAATATTCTATAAATATATATTTTAAATTAGATTATTATAACCCATCAGCTAAGGTAGTTATTCAAAAAATACCATCTATTATCTTAAAATAATAATAATGATGAACAAAATTCGGGTAAAAGCGTGGGCTTCTAGCCGGTATGTCTTATAGTTTAGGCTCACTAGCAAAACCCAAAATACAAACCCAACAAAACTTTAAACCCCAGCAGCGTGAACTATAGCTAGTTCAACACTCTGTCAGGGTTTTTGCCTTTTCTTTCTTCCCCGCTGTCAAACGAAGCAACCGTAATTTCCTTTGCGTTACTCTTTTTTCTTTGTGAAATTTAGTGCAAGCTGATAAACTCTTGTTTTGGTGTATGCTG